TATATATATATATATATATATATTTATAATATTTTTTTTTTTTACTCAATTTATCCTTAGGGTTTTTTTTTATTATTATTATCTCCACTGTGCCATTCATGCCTTGCACTGTTTTTGATGGTCCTACAATTAAAATGTAAATTTTACAAATTTGTCTCAAAACTCTTCCATTGTGCTCTTTCTAGCTGTATTCTTACGTAAACACCACCATTTGATCAAGGTCTGGCGAACCAGCATAATTATTCAGGGCACCCCTGAGATAGATTAGCAATCTAGTCATTTACATAACCCCTCCGACTAGTTAATTATTTTTGAAAAATGTAAATGCTACAGGCATCCAGCGCAAAGTCTCCCTCCGCTCTGACACTTCACATGGTCACAATCTGTGACTGTAATTCAAGTCCCGCTCTCCTCCAGCCTGGCGCTCGTGTTCTTTTTCAAATTTACAGCTCTGTAATTGCAAGGCAGCAATGAGGCCATGGAGGCATCTGACTTGCCTGTGTTTTAATTTTATTAGACCACAGGAAAAAACATGTTGTTCTTTCAAATGTTCATGCTTTCCTTGATTGTGATTATACAGTCTTGAAATGCTTCTTTTCCCCTGGAACTCTTTCATTTTTTTTTTCTTTTCGTCTATTTCTCTTTGTTAATGAATCCAGATGGGCTCAGTCTGTTTCAGTTTGCAGCCCCGCTGCACAAGCCCCTTCCCTACGGCACTCTGATAGGGGAGGAATTATTGAAGTTTTATAGTGGCCGCAGTTTATGGAAGCTCTGATTTATAATGTCTGGACCGCAGGCTTATTTGACACTGTGTATCTATCTCAGCGTTCACAGCGTGAACAGATCAACTTTGTCTTAAAATCAAAAGAAAAACACTGGTTCCTTCAAACCTTCTGAAAGAAAGTGACAGCAAACAGAGAGAATATGATTATGTTTTTAAAACCAAGTGAGCAGCCTTCTTAGGGAGCATTTTATGGCATCATAGGTACACTCTTGGGATGTGTCTGAATAGTTTTTGATAACATTTTTATAATTGATTTTACTTTTATATTTTGTTTTCATTTCAATTTTATTTAAACTTTTGTTGTGTTTTTGTCATTTTTATCTTTTTTTTTTTTTTTAAATGTGTCAGTATAATTGTATATAATTTTTAGTTTATTTAGCTTTAGTTATTTTAGTACTTCAAGTCAAACTAAGCGAGAAATGAGAAATCGTGTCTTGGCAGCTAGCTGAAATAAAATAAAATAATTCAAAGTAAGAAGAATGCTATTAATGGTTTTAATTTTAGTGAATGATAACAGCCCTGTTCCAAAATCACCCCCTATACCCTTATATAGTGCACTATTTGAGGGGACACATTTGTAGTGATGTCTGCAACCATAGTGGACATTGTCAAGTGCACTCATTCAATCCCATAATGCACCTGAGTTAGAAGGGGTACAATCAAAGCCACTGGAAGGCAAGCATTCAACCTTTAGCCAAAAAAAGTGTAACAGCTAATGCATAACGCTGCGACTTTGGCAGGGAAGGAGATCAGAGGCCGTGTTCTTATCATTTAATGAATCGACAACCTGTTTGCTAATCTTCAACATGTTTTACACTAAACAATACTTTTGTTGGGAAATATATGTCAATTTTACCTTGATAAAAATGTTATTTTTCAAGGGAAGGCAGAGTAGGGAATGTCGCGACAGGTAGGACTCATTTACAACATTATTACCAGCAAATGTGTGTTGCATTACTATTTATAATATTGTTTATTGTCTAAAAATATCAACGTTTACTTTCTTTAGTTTTCAGGTTTTACCTGAAATTAGACTTGAATTGTAATGACTATTATGTGACCATATTCCTTATGTTAATATAATGCATTTTAATGAATAAAGCACAACTGTTTAAATTATTGTATTATATTGTATGTTCTTTAATGAAAATATAATTTCTTCTTTCTATTGCTTCCAAGTTTGTATTTACAACACTGTTCCAAAACAGTTCAACCCAAATATTCAGATGTGTGCAGCACATTTTATGGAGGACTGTTTCCTGATCCTGGTAGAGTAGACTACAATGCCGGCTGTTCTGACTCACAGACTGTAAATAGGTTTTTTATATGAAAGAATTTGCCACTGACGATTTAAACGAGTTTTGAGCAGTGTAGAGTAGCGCTTGTTGTTTGTCGTTTCTCCGATCACAAATGCAGACATGGTTTTATGTTTACGAGGCGCGATGCAATGCGTAAAAAGACAGTATAAGTCATTATAATCCGTAATTATGACCCCACTGGATGCAACAAATGCCTCATTTATAATGGGGTTTATTGTTTTTGTCTTGTTGCGCGGGACACGGCATCAGTATGGTAAGGGGCGTAACATTTCGACAGGGCATCACAGTATGGTAAGGGGCGTAACATTTCCGTCACACGCTTGAGGTATTCGGCCAATCACAACGCACTGGACAGCTGGCCAATCAGAGCACACCTCGCTTTTCAGACCGATGAGCTTTGTAAAAATCCGACGCGTTTCAGAAAGGCGGGGCATAGAGGAGAAACGATAATATACAGTATGTGGAAAATAATGTGTTTTTTTTTACCTTAAACCACATAAACACATTTCATTACACCAAATACACAAAATAATGTTCTCTTTAGCAACATCATATGACCCCTTTAAGGAATAAAGGTAAAAAATATATATTTTAATAAACAAAAGGTATTTTTTCTATGGCTTCCATATTTAAACAAATAAATTGCATTTTTTATAACTCGTACGAGTATTATGCATGCCCAATCATGCTGCTTTTTTTTTTAAATGAACAGAATAAAACCTAATCTTAAATTGCAGTAACCAGCAGTTTGCACTCTTTTTTACTGTACAACATAAACTGTAACTGACTGTCGTAGAACTGTGAAAGCTGGCCACTGACGTCACTGCCATTGTATGATTGGCTGAGGAGCCTCACATGATCCAATTTAGGCGTTACACTTTTTCCAATGGTATGTAGGCTAATACAGACCCTCTCATCCCCCAATAATAAGACAATTTCTGGTACAACCAATGTACACTCAATAGCTAGCTGCAAAAAATACCCAAATAAATTCCAGAGTCTTGCAAAAAAAAAAATCGTGTCTGCAGCACTTCTTGTGCCCTCGAAGTCTGAATTCACTCACTGGTTTTCACTCACTTATTCAGTGGACTATATTAGTGGAGTAATATAGGGAATAGCAAGTAAAGGTATATGTGAAGGCTCTAAAAGGAAGGTCTGAAGGCTCTAAGATTCTGTACCTTCTTTTGACCAACTTCTAACACAGCATTGTAAGTATCCTTCACAGAGAAGCAAATCACAGAATTAGCGACAATATGTGACAAGCTTTGGCAAGCAATATGGCTATTTTTTTTATAAAATAGTTCCAAGAATTTGACAGTTTTATTCAATACTGTGCATGTTTATGGATTTCGGTTTTGAGTTGTTAGCTTAGCAACATGCTAATACCAAACTCTACTGAAAACAATTGTCATTCAAGTCTCCTATGGTTTCCTGTGAGAACAACTAATTGTGTGGCAACAGATCTTTCCACAGGATGTTCACTAGGTTTTCGAATGGTGTATATTTCTTGGCTTTCTCCTTGTGAACAGATCACCTCCGTTTTAAAGCCAAAAGAAATCATCAGTTCCCACAAACCTTCCAGAAGAAAGCAACAGCAAAAAGAACCACATGATTATATGTGGGAAACTGCAAGAATATTGAGTTACGAAAATTGCAGAAGGGAGGGAGCTTGCTGTTCTGCTACATTCAGCTTAGGGGTGTGAAATATCACGATTTGTGATCGTTGATGATTAAAATGTCTCCATGATCTGCTTTTGAAGAAATATCGTAGTATCGTGCTACAGCGTACATTCTATCAGTTGCAGTTCTGGCTCCTCCTCGTCTCAATATACTGTACAACACGATATACATTCACATCAAATGTTAACTCAATGGTAGAGTTATACTCGTGGGACACTGCACTTCCCAATCACAAAAGTGCATTATTTGCATGTGTTTTAAAGCCTTGCTGGTTAAACATTTCATTCGCGTGCTGTTCTGACAT